TTCTGGGGCTTCGTCTGACATACTTTGGACATGTTGTAAGGAGGGACAGACAGGTCCTTGGAGAGGGACATCATGCTTGGGAGGGTGGAGGGACAGCGCAGGAGGGGAAGACCTTCTATGAGGTGGCTCGATTCAGTGACTTGGGTAATTGAGATGGGTGTGTCGGAGGCAATGTTATTGGCACAGGATAGAGCAGGGTTTAGGGCTGTTGTACATAGGGTCGCTATGAGTCGCAAACGACTCGATGGCACATAACAACAACAAAGCAATTGTTATTTCTCTCTAAAATGTATATCGTGTTCTGAACTATCGTGGTATAGAATCTAAAATTGGTAAAAACTAGTCTGCAAATTTCTCCCCTTTATATCTGAGTTCAGCTTATATTAGTATCTTTTTTTCCCTTTGCCAGAAAAACGAGTTAGAAATCACTATGGATGCATATTTAATAGTATGTGAGTTAAATTTATCTTTTGCCTCTTGACAGAAGATATGCTATTTTGTCCCTTTATATCTGATCATTCTGAAGGTACTGATTTGACAGTGGCACATAACAACATTATTCTGAAAATACAAAGGTAAAAGAAAAAGATGGGCCAATAACTTTTTAGTTTGCAGCAGTTAAGGCTTTGTGCACTGGGTTTCATCTTGAGAAAAGCTGATCCTCACTAAGCTACTTTTACATCTGAAAAAAATATAAGCTAGTTGATAAAATATTTTAAAAAATTAAGACAGTCACTAATGATTTTGGAAAACAAAAATGACAGAGCTGAAACATATGTTTAGAAGTCACCCAGTTTGGCTGTGAAAGTGTTTGAGGCATGGAGAACAAAGTAGGCCATGTAAGCAAATGGCATGTTTGTTTGTTTTGGGCTTTTTTAAACTGAATGACCTAAATATAAGAGTCCTCTATATCAACCTGAACTAGAATGCCCAGCTCTTAACACTTTGAATTGAGAGACCACACTGAACAGATGGCCAGAGTGTCATCGGCTCAGCCTTGCTTGAGGGGTGTGGAAGCTGGCAGCTGTTGGGAGTTCAGTGCTGGTCTCAGGGGTCTGCAGTGACAAAGAGACGTATGCACTGGGACCTCCAGCCACAGGTCCACTAGCTTGCAATAATTAACTGCTGTGATTTGTTTTGTCAATGTAATGCAGACATGCCCAGATTAATTCTCATGCACTGACTACAACACAATGGACACCCTGGATTAGGCACAAGATCTGTGTGGTTTGCTGCTGAAGACCTCAGTTTTCAAGAATTTAGAAAAGAATAAAGCTATATTTCTAGAAAAAAATTTATATTAGCTTGATGACTAATGTCACCGACAATGGAAAATATTTATTTCCAGGTTGGAGATGAGGTAGTACAATAAATCAGCTAATATGTAGATAATATTATGTTCTTAGCCTCAAGATGTTCTAGGCCTACCTGGCAAATATGCCCAAGGTGAAAGAAATAGTGATATTAAGGCAGCAATCTCTTAAACTGCATTTCATGTCTGGGTGGATATCTATCTGTCTGTCTGTATGAAAGCTAATAGAAACACCAAGCAGACCTCGGAAATAGCTCTTCACACTAGCACATGCTAAAGCCTGTACCTGTACTGAACCAGAGATACCATCCACATTTTCACCTTCAAATGCCAATAAAAGGTCACATTCCTCTAAGTCTAGATCTTACACAGCCCTGCAGTTTTCCCATGCTCACAGCCACAGTTCAGATAATAACTTGTGAGCTGAGCCAACACTAGATGGGCCTTCTTCACTTTTCTACTGGTGCCTTGAATGTGATTTTTCTTTCTGACTGAATACTGGGAGAATCTGGCATGGCATCTGCCCTCAGACAGCTGAGTGGGTCAGTGTGAGGGAAGGTACAGTGGGCAGGAGTGATGACCACCCAACTCCTCCATGTGCAGCCCCTCCGACTGGTCCCTCCTATCCGGGGGATTGGGGTAGGGTGGTTAGACATCAGTTCAGAGGAGGCACTGCTGACCTCATTGGATGGAGCTGGTGTGGCACACCTCTCAAGTGACCAGCTCTGTGGCATTGGGCTGAGCCGGGCCCTCACACATGTGATAGGGCAGCTCCTGCTTGGCGGGAGGGGGTTGGGGCACAGGCTCCTCTGCTCACAGGTGTTGTGCCTAACCCGGGGCACTGCTGTACACACACACACACACACACACACACCCTCGCACGTTGGTACAAACAATAAATGAGGCTCTGAAAGTAGGACCACTGTTGCAGCCGCCACCTAACATCGTTTTGGACTGAAGCACCGAACACGAGGGGAATGTGCTCTGTGCCGAGGTACACACCTCTTCCTCTGAACTGTCACTCGGCTCATTGTCTAGTGAGGCGCTCAAGGAGGCCGCCTTGGGCTCCAGGTAGCAGAGGCACATAGCCAGAGGGAAGGAGAGAGTGAGGGCATATGGCACTGAGAAGGAGGCGGAGAGCAGAAAGAAAAAGATGAAGAGGAAGCAGGGCACAAGGGACGGGGAGTGGATAGGGAGGAAATGCTGCAAGCGCTGCGGGAGGAGGGTGGATTCAGAGAGGTTGGGGAAAGAGAGGTACCCGTCATCATCTAGAAGAGAAGGAAATGACTCAGGGAGATGCAGCGAGAAGGAAAAGAGGGTTGCCCCTTTGCCGGCTGGCTGTTTGCAGCTAAATGCCACATCTGGGTCTCCTAGAAAAGGCTTCCCTTTGCTGTCCACGTTCAGGGTGGGCTCACCGCGCACCCGCATGGGCTCCTCACAGGGCTGGCAGCCCTCCTTTTCCCTGCATCTCCTGCGGAGCTTTGTGGGAGAGGCAGGGGGGCTCCATGCAGATGGAGGTGACAGGGGACATGAGTCAGCGCTGAGCCTGGGTGACTGATGTGAAAGAGACAGACAGACAGCAGCAAACAGAGGTGTAGAAGGACAAAAAGAAAACTGCAATTAGTTAATTTTCTTATGGCTATCAATATAATACTGCAAAAATAAAAGTTTAGCATAAGGGTTGCTGTTCACCCATTTTCAAGTATTTAAGCCACAGGCCAAAGGTACCACCAATGGCTCCATTTCTTCTGCTACACCATCAGATGGGTTTATTTTTGGTTTCTTCAGGTCTGAACTACACATATTTGTGAGCAGTTTTGAAGCCCACATGTTTCACATAATCCAAAAATTTCTCTTTAGAACAAGAATTCTAGAAGTTGCAGGATTTTAACAAAAAACTCTGACAACGTACAGTCAAGGCTTTCAATAAGTTGCTTCTGAGCTGCTAAAAGATCTGTTACTAGATCAGTTAGATTAAAAGTATCTTTTACCATCTCTGTTACTTCATTCCTTGGTTAATCAAAGTATTTCTGGCCCCATTCCTATCTCACAAACAGATGTGTTCAGAGAATTCAGTGGAACCTGACCTCCATAAAGAATGGAAGTTCCTTGAGCTTCATTTACCCTGTAAATGCAACATGAACTGTACTAAGTGGCTTTAACAAGTCAGCTAGCAAAAGGAATGTTACCTTCTCTAAAATGTTTTACAAGTATTTACTTTGTATTATTTGTAGCCCACATGTAATATTAAAGATAATAATTTTCCAGCCTTCTGGGTTTTTTTGGTTTTTTTAAAGCACATGAACAATCTGCTGGTTATTATCCTGAGTAAAATGATAAAAGCAGACATTCTCAAGAGTGGTCCCTGTGAGCAGAGGCTTCTTTTGGGAGAGAAAGCCTAGCTCCAACTCTGCGTGGACCCTGGCCTTTCCAATGACCAAAGCCACTTTCGGTAGTACAGGAACTGCTCTGATGAAAAGGGAAGGACAAAAATAGGCAAACAGACCCCCAATACAACCTTGACACCTATGAGAAGCAAAGGAGTTCACGAGGACAGAGGGAGCCCAAGGTAAACAGACTTCTTTTGCTTTCAAGGAAGATACGTGTCTGCCTAACAACCTGATAGCATAGAAACTACCCAGCCTGCTCTGCGGCAGCTAGCCAATAACTAGAGGCTGAGGTCAAGAAAATGTATGGAAAATGATATGCTGGGCTTGCCAGAATCTGGAAGTCAATCTTTTCTACTATTAAATAAGCATGTCTTTTTTCACATACTCATGTTTGACATTAAAGTGCATTCTAAGTAAGAACCTGTACAAAGACTCAACTAAGAATCCTGTAAAAGTTATAAGCCATCTTTAGCATGAAGACAATCCTCCTCCAGCAGCGAAAGTCTCCCACACTTGGGGTGACAAGTGGCTGCGGAAATATGTTCTCCTTTCAAGGGAACACAGTTGCCAGTATTTCAACAATTCTTTCTGATTGAAAATAAGTATCCTTTATTTAGTTTGGAGCCCTGATGGGCTAGTGGTAAGGAGTTGCAGTGGCAACCCAAATGCACACAGCTCGAATCGAGGAGTTGCTCTGTGAAAGAAAGATGGCAATCTCCTGTGTGATTTACTGCCTCTGAAAACTAGCAAGAACATAAGCTATGAGTAGGTTCCAACTTGAGGGTACATAACAACAAGAAGAAGAAGTAAGTTTAGTTTTCCAGGTTATCTACTAAAATGGCACTTAAAAGACAATTTTGGACTATGGAAAAATCAAGACATGACCACTTTTTTAAGCACAATATCCCAGCCTTCTGAGGAAAATCTGCCTTTTTAGTTTCCTATGGCATAAATGACACAAAGTAGTTTATTGTTACATTTCATATAAACAAATTGGTGTTTTTATTTTTAAAATACAATAAAATGAAACAATATGAGCTATTTTTCATGGAAAATAAAAAATAATTTCCTTTTCTGTGTCACATAATCCTATTTGTACATCCATGGGAACTGGGTGTTGCCACATGTGACTCTTGAGTATAAAAGTGACCCACTTGGTTTTCAGGCATTTTGTCACTTTTCACGTCCTATATAAAAATCTGCCTTAACTGACAAGGAATATTGTCCATTTTAACAGCAAATTTATCCATATATCCCAGCTGTCTTATTATTTTTTTTAAATGGGCCATTTGCGATATTATGAACAGAGAAATTACTTGTTTGTTGGCTGAGCCTTTAAGATGTTTTTCTATAGAATCACAGGTGTAGTGTCTCTGCAACATAAAAAAAAATTGCTGGGCTAGAGAATACTTCTGAATCAAACTTGGGCAAGATTTCAAGGGCTACTCTATGTCTTATTATTATCATGCACCAGCTTCTCTCTTTTGGCTTTTAAATCACTGTTGTGAAAAGCTGACTTGTAATGCTAGATACCAAGATCACTACAAATAAGCAATATCTGTTTAAAAATAATATTTTATGAATACCAAATATAATGGATGAGCAGAACATGAGGATAGATTACTCTCCAAATACTCTCTTTTTACCTGCCTTTGGAACCTTCTCTGTCTTAACATCACTGTTCAAACAGGACTGTGCACAATCTGATAGCCAGGTTACAGGGAATTAAGGAAAGAAAGAGTATTAGTATGTGCAGGCCACAGTAGGAAGGACGCCCAGTGAAGACCGTGAATCTAGGACAACACACCGTTTTGTGGGTAGGAGAATGGGGCCAGAAACAAAACCACTTTGGAAGGTTTTTGAACATGGGTCAAAATGGAAAACTTGTTTTTGGCTAACAAGAATATTTTAAAGATATATATATGTGACAGAAGTTGATAGTCTTACATGCACATTAGTTGGTTTAAAAAAAAATCGAGAAAAGAGTCAGAAGGAAAATGTTGAAACCGATTTCATTTAAAAACTGACACTAGGAATGTGGATAAGCCTGAAGTGAACTATGAATTACGGTGGATCTGAACGCATGCCCTGTTGGAGCCACCGAGCAGCATGAAAAGCCTGGGTGCAGAGGGACAGCTGGGAGGTATACCTTTCCCTCGTGCCGCACAGCCGACACGGGCGTGACCTCCTGGGCCTTTTTCCGCCGGTCCTCCTCCTCATCGTGCTCCTCCTGCGCCTTCTTCTCTGGAGTCACAGTGGTGATGAGGTTGGTTTGAGAGATGCCCTTTGTTGCCGCGTACTGGCCGGTACCAACCTCTGCAGCAGACATAGAATCCTTCATGTATATTTCATGGTTTTCATTCACTGAGGCTAAAAGCAAATACAATTGAAGAGATAAAATCTCAAATCGTTAATCCTGCAGACAGCAAAAACAGTTAACACCAATTAACCTACTACTTGAAAAGGAGAATATGCCAGAACACAATGCCAGGCTTGTCTTGAAAGGGGGTGGGACTCAGCCAGCATGGACCTTCAGCTAAGCACCAGCACAGATGCAGCTTTCTGCGTCACTATCCCAATTTTACTGCTGTAAAATGATGTGAATGCTACCTCTGGAAGCCACTAGAGTGATTTTCAGCATGCGCAGGCTCTCTGCTGTGTCAGACTGGGCCGGGCCACTTCTTACCCCACAGAATAACTGGCTGGGCAAAGACACTGTTAGCCAGCCCCACAACTAACTGTGGTATTTGCAGCAGACAGCTGTTCTAAAATGCTCAGCTTTGAGAAAGCTTTCAAACACCATTCACCAGTAAGTACCAGATAGATTTTTGTTCCTTATTTTATTAGTAATAGCTGAAAGTCTATTATTCCAATGATATAAAAGCCCCATGGTTAATGACAAAAATAACTCTCTTGGCAGAGATTAAAAAATATAAACAAGCAAATCTCAAGTCCACAAATGTTTTCATTTCTACAGTGGTACAAACAGAACCTTATGCTATATCTATGGCCATCCCTAATATTTTAAGTAAATAAACCCAAAGTTGCTAACTTAATTCATGCAAAGCAAAACATGCAGACAAAACGGGGAGACAAAGGTTTTCACCACAGCTAGAATGTCTTAGTGAAACAGAGGCTTAAAAACTTGATCAAGTCTTAAAAATTTGTTACTTGCCATTATAGGCTTTTAGATATGACAAAAGTTTTTAAAATGCATAAGGCAGCCTTTTTAATACACAGTAGCTAGCTGTAGGCAACAACAGAACCTGCATTCCAATTTCAGAAATCTTAAAATATGAATGTACAAAAGATTCTGAAACTTGTCTCTTGCTGTGTACCATCAAGCTGGGACCAACTCATAGCTGACCCTCCAGTAGGTTTTTAGAAGCAGTAAATCGCATGGAAGGAGGAACTGTGTACCTCTGCACTGGCAATGTTAGCTGCCAGAACTCCCTGAAATCTTTAACAGCAGAACCATTTCACTAAGCACTACAGGCTCCTAACTCTGCCATGTACGTCTCCTCATTCTGATAGCAAAGCTCATGCAACAGCACCTGAAGGAGAAGCCTGGCTTTTCTAAGGAAGATGTGATCTTGCAGAAAAGCCATGTTCTGTTCACTAAGCAGCCCCAGTACCCAGTGCAGCAACGTTAGGACACAGACGTGAAGTGGCAGGACCCCCACAGAGTGAAAGACAACACATACTAACATCACTTTTGGTTGGGGAGGGTGGAAGAGACAGCATGAAATTAGTACATTTACTTCACAATTGTCTTCTCCACAGTCATATTAACACATAAGAGGTCATTAGGAAAATAAAACTCACAGCATATGAACATAATAGATGGATAGTTTTTGGGAGAAACTGAGATGTGATGCTATAAAAACACTTTGAACATTTACTTATGGAAATGGATCAAAAACATTGAGTTAGGTTCCCTAAGGGAGAGGAAAGTAAAGGGGACAAAGTAGGAAAGAAAGTTATTGTGCAAACACCATTCATTTATTGCAATCGAGTCAGTTCTGACTTAGCAACATTCTGTCAGGTTGTTGTTGTTGTTAGGTGCCTTCAAGTTGAGTATGACTCATAGCGAACCTCTATCAGGTTACTGAGACTGTAAATTGCAATGAGAGGAGATGGCCCATCTTTCTCTTTTGGAGCCACTGTTGGATTTGAACCACTAGAGAGGCACAGCCTGTGGTGAGCAGTGCAATTCCTTATGACCTAGGCCACCAGAGTGCCCCACAGTGTCAACACAGGCATTTGAGTATCTTAATTCAACTGCAAACCGTCCTAATAGACATTTTATTTTGAAAATTTGGCTCTAAATTAGGTATTCTGAAAAATAACAAACACTCAGAAAACAAAAAATGATAATGAACTTTCAGGGTCAGTCCAAAACCCCTCAAAGAATAATTATGAATAATGTTGTCATGGACCATTGAGTCGTAACCACTTCCAAGATGAGCGGGTTTTCAGAGGCAGTAAATCACAGGAGAGGAGACTGCTCATCTTTCTCCTGCAGAGAAGCTGGTGGACCTGACCCATTTCCCTTTGGGTTGGAAACACAACTCCTTAGCACTAAACTACCAGGGCTCCCTAGTATCAAGATAATTATTACTAAATAAGCAACAAAGATTCTTCTACATAGATTTGCGGCTTTATCCTCATTTTAAAAATGACTGTAATTGAGACCTAATGTAAGCAGTGGCAAAAAAGGTACAAAGAAAATCTAAGGCCCTTGTAACTTTTATTTATCGTTTTGCTTGCTATTAAAATTACATTTGCAAGCTAGAAAATTCTTGTTTTTCACAGGATAATTTAGCCATAAAACAGCTAAATTCCAGGCACCCTGAATGGGGAAACAGTAGCACAGAGACACAAGCTTGACCATGATTCAGTCCATGTATTCAGTACTGAGGTTCTAGATGATAAATCTCAATATAAAAATGGACAGAAAGACAAGACCATCACAAAATAAAACAAAAACCCACTAAAAACTCACTCCTTAACAAGGCTGGTTAATGATATCTCTGTAGGGATCAGTCCTTACTCATCTAGTTCAATATTAGACCTCACAGAGCCCAACCCCCAATACTGAATATTAAGATGACTTATCTAAGAGAATCATTTAGAACCTTTAGCTATTATCTAAGAATCATTCCTATTTACTATTCCACAGGCTGACAAAGGCTGTATTTTATTATTAAACATGTCCTAGAAACATACAAATTTAATCTACAAGCTTTCCTTCTGAAACAAAGCCTAAGACAAACCTAATAACTGGGATTTGACAGCAAGAGAACTAAATTGTATATATGTAGAGCCTGTGATTACTGTATTCGGAATAAGAGCAACTTTATCCATATTCAAGGTGTTGATCTATGAACCCTGTGCTCTTCAGTCCATAAACACCATTACTTTGTGTATTTTTAGATAACTCTTCCAATGACCAATATTAGACTGGCAAAGTCACTGTTTGGTTTTCATGAGCGGAGAGTGTGTTTAAAAGTTTGCCATTAAGCCATAAGCTGATAATTACATTGCCATTAATAATATCCAAAGGGGACAACGTTTCTAGGCAGCTCATGATAATTTCACCTTTACTGAGGTTCACACAGCTTCCATATTCCTGTCTGGACAGCCATGAGGGACCATCGAGGGCCAGTAAGTGAAGCTCACCTCCATCCAAGCTGCGGGACATGGTGTAGCGTTTGCTGGACGAGCGCTCAAAATATGGGGCCGGCCGGTCTATCAACGCGCTGGCTCTTCTCGTCTGCGCTTGTGTTCTGCCACTATAACGGAACTTGGAACCCAAGGTAAGGAATTTCTTTGGAGGTGCTTCTGGTAATAGTAATCTAAAATAACAAAGAAACAAATAATACTACCAAAAAATGAACACAATCAAAGACTAAGTTCACTATTGAGAAGGCTACCCATAGCAACTTTACTATTGACTGAAAGGTTTCTAACAGCCCTGAATGGGAAAGACTTGACCATATGCTTCATAAAACTGGCAGCCAAAAAGGCCTGTGGAGCTCAGCTCTACTCGTTACACCTGGAGCTGCCATGAGGCAGCAGAGACTCACAGACACTGTGTTTTTTGCTTTGTTGTATATAATTCAGAGAGGCAAAGTGCTAAAGGTTTAACTTACAACCTGGATTTTATAAGATGACAATTCACAGATCCTAGGTATGTTATAGAGGGGACAGAGGAGTATAAAGCTAGGAAGATGGGCTCCAAAAAGGAGGAGAGAGTGAAGAACAAGAATATTCTGGTATTATTAAGTACAAATTTTGTGGTCTCGATGTCATGGCACAGTGGTAAGGAATTGTGCTGCTAACACAAAGGCATGTGGAATGAATCTGCCAGGGGCTCTGAGGGAGAAAGGTGGGTAATCTCCTTCGATGTGATTTATTATCTTTGAAAACCTGCTAGAGGGTCAGTTATAGGTTGATTCTAACTTGACTGTATACAACATATGGGTAAAGGAGGCTGGGACACTGAAAAATTCTGAAGCAGTAAGAAAGAATAGGATACCTGGAGTGGACATCTAAGTAAACAATGAGAAGACATTACAGATTATAAAGAAAGGGGAATCTGGCAGATAAGTAAAGACAAATTAAGGAAACTCCTTCACATATACATGTTGTGGTATTTTTTTTTTCTTTTCAGGATTTCAGTCAAGGAATCTGGTGACAATGCACTTGAAAGAACATTTTTTACATTCTTCTTCCAACTAATCTTTCCCCCAATATAATTAGTTCCAATATTTCCAATTTTTCCTTAGGAAAAAACCCAACACAATTTCTGCCTACCTGAAAAAGGTATGATGCTCAACACACACTTTCCATAAGCGCTTGGCAGCTCGATGGTTAGGCAGTTTAAACCCAATTGTGCTTTCAAACTGTTCAAACTGAAAGAAAAAAAATATATATATACATTAAAGAGTAAAGTTTGTAATTATGAATAAAATTGAAGGTTAGCAAACAATTTTCAAAATCAATACAACATACAAGTTTTTACTCTACTTACTATATCCATCAGTATGTACAGAATCCTTATTTAAGGAATAAAGAAATCTTTTGGGTGTTTTCCCAGAATCCTTGTTACAGACATCCACACTATGAACATAATAAATGCTGATGCAGGACAGGGATTTAGGAAAACAAAATGCAAAAGCAGAGGGCATTTGACTGTTTAGACTCAGATGGCAGATCTTAACTTTCTTAGCTTCTTAATGATACTATGTATTCAAGTAGAATATACAGAAATGAACAAAACATTACCAGACATAACCAAACATTCCCAGGAATGGCATTTGTTACAAACGTACTAGTATTTGATGATGCAGTTATCAGACATTGCTGATTTTATGTGCTCCAATATGGATTATCATGCTAAATACTATTACTTCTCTATTTTTGTTGTTGATTGCCACTGAGTCAAGGATGTCTCATAGTGACCTTATGAACAAAAGGCCTGAAGCCTTTCTATTAACTATTGTCATTTAACAAAATTCATAGAGTTTCCAGAGGCATGTTGTTTAGGAGAGGATGCCATTCTTGCTTTCAATATTATACATAAAAACAGAGATTAAGGGAACACATTTTCATATTCTTTAGCATGCATATTTCAGATGATACTCTTATCAGTCAAGGAGTTATCTGTAATCTGCTTCCAAAACATAATTTAATATTATTATGGCAGATGCTTAGTTGATTCCCCCAACCTCCTAAAAGACAGTATACATCAAGCCACCAGAGGGCAATCTTCTTAAACAGCAGAAGTTCTTCAAAGAACACAACCACCAGACTGATAAAATCAACAACAGCAAAAGTAATTTATGTGGCAAACAACTAAGTTGCTTAGTCGTAAGCTCGACTGAAGGGTACATTGTTGTTGTTGTTGTTGTATGTGCCATTGAATTGCTTACAGCTCATAGTGATCCTATGTACAACAGCTCTGAAGCCTGCTCTGTCCTGAGCCAGTCTCACTGACTCCAACATACCAACCTGCATTGCCCTAGTTACCGTATAAATCTATCTCATCTGGGATCTTCTTTTCATGTACTGTCCCTCCACTTTCCAAGCATGATGTCCTTCTCCAAGGACTGGTCCCTCCTGCTCATGTGCCCAAAGTATGCGAGACCTCCATTCCCTGTTTGTTTGGGATGGCGGCTGGACCAGGCAAACCTTACAGGTTGTCCTCAGCAGTTGCCTTCTCTAAAATGAGGAAAGGCAACTTCCTTAATCAGGACCCCCATATGTAGGGCAGCTGTTTTCCAACTGACTCAGTCAATGGACAAACCAGGAGTTCCCTGGAGCTTGACTAAGCTCACTCACTAATTTTATATCTATCATGGACCACATGTGACACAAAATCCAAATTTACAAAGAAGATGAACGTGAAACTAAGTCTGTGCCACAAGAAGCAACCTGAACTTACCTCTAACCTCCTCATTACAGGGAAGACGTGCACCCCTACACTTTCTGAATCTTTACCTTCTTGTTCTTTGTATACATTTCTTCTAACCATTTATCAGCTTTTGTACCACCAATTATTTCTTCTCATTTATTCTGCTCAATTTAGAAATAGAATCATGGAAAAAGTGTAGGGGAAACCTCACATTTTTTCTAGCTTGCTCCACTTGACCCAGAACATCATTTTCTCATTGTTGAAAGTTCATCAAAGAGAAGCCACAAGACACTACCTCTAGTGCTTCACTCTTCTTTATTATAACCTGGAATATGCCCTTAATGCCTACCTTAACCCATTTCTTAAATGCTATACTTCGAAAGAGGCAAGTCCAAAATGTTTTTCTCAGTCCTTTTCCTCCACAGCTTCTCTTTAGCCCATGGCCAGGCCGGGTGACCACGTACCCGGAAACTTGTCTTGTCACTCCCAGTGTTGATGTACCTCTTTTTACCTGTCTGACCATTTTTATTAATCTCCTCTTGCTCCATTTCTCTGCGGCTTATTCCTCCCTCAAACAATGGAAGTAAAAGAGTTGAATTATGGGCCTTGTTTTCTACAACATTACTTCTTCTTCGGGTAATTAATCCCACATCTATTGCCTTGAATAAAAGACATACAGCTGATGATGACTATTTTCAAGATTTGTATTTTATTTTTTTTTTTTTACTATTCAAGAATTAGTGCCCTGAAAATCTCCACAGGAACATATATTCTTTTTTTTCTGACATTTTCTCCCTTTTCTTTGCTTTTCTATAACATCTCTGCCCAATTGTGCATTCAAACCAATAGCCTATGATTATCACAGACTTTCCTTTTTTTATCCAGTTTCCATTCTTTCTCCAAGACTAGTTTTCAGAAATCTCTCAAATTGCTGCTTTCCCACGGTCATGCTCTCCTGTGGGTTTACCACACCACATTATCAACGGGTTATATTCTAATACACAACGTTCCACAGCTCATGACTGACCACTGATTGACTTCTCCAGCTTTCTCTGTTGATTCACCTAACATTATGCTTGCTCCATGACTACAGAATGTGGCTGCATCTGTACCATGGCATTGTAACACTGTTACATAATTCAAAATGTACAAGTCTGTCCTTCTATTAAACATCTCTTGAGTAAAGGAACAAAGTCAGATTTATTCATCTAATACCCAAAACAGCTGCTGGCATTCAACAGGTGCCCACTCAATAAGTGTTTAATGAGTGCAAATGAATATCTACAGGTCACAGATTTCACATGAGATCTTTAAGAAATACTTAATAGCTAATCACAAAATTAAATACTTTGGAGTAAATGTAATCAGAAGCACAAAGGACCCATTCAAAGAATATTACAAAACATTACTATAAGAAACAAAAAGAGCCCTGGAGAAATGGAAGAATATTCCTTGCTCTTGGATAGGAAGACTCAATATTGTGAAAATGACAATACTACCTAAGGCAATTTACATATTCAGTGCAATCCCAATACAAATACCAGTCCCATTCTTCAACGAGATGGAAAAGTCTATCTCCAGTTTCATTTGGAATGGAAAGAAGTCTCAATTAAGCAAAGCACTCCTTAAAAAGAGAAACAAGGTTGGAGGCATTTCATTCCCTGATTTAAAATCCTACTATACTGTCGTAGTGGTCAAGACAGTGTGGTACTAGTACGACAGATAAATGGAACAGAATTGAGAATCCAGAAATCAGCCCATCTACCTATGGTCAACTGATTTTTGACAAGGAGATGAAATCAGTTAAGTAGGGAAATGATAGCCTTTTTAACAAATGGTGTTGGAAAAACTGAAAAACTACCTTCAGAAAACTCAACCAAGATCAACACCTCACTCCTTACACAAAAACCAACTCGGCAAAGAGTGATGGCACACAAGGGCGATGGCGCACAAGGGCAGTTTTATTTGCTGAGGATTGGTGACTTGGTAGCTTAATATGTGGGAAGAGACTGCAACCCCTAACTCTCAGCTCTGCCCAAGGCCAGCACCCCCATCCCTGCCACAGCACCGTGTCCAAGGACACCACCCAACCACCATCTTGCGCCCCCACACTTCTGGCACACCCTGGTGGCCTCACCACAACCCTGCACCCCTGGTGGTGCTCCACGGCCATTAGAGACTCCTTCATGCAGCACAGAAACCTATCAGCAGCCGTGGACAGTAGATTCTGAGTCAGCACACAAAGGCACACTGCAGATCCAGGCATCCTCTGAAGCCACCAATCGAGCTGCTGTGGGACTGATCTGCCATGAGAAAACCTGGTAGGATCCTAATTGGGTTTTCTTGGGCACTGCCGATTGCCTGGGAGAGTACCTAAGGGTGAGCCCACTGGTAGGAATTTGGCTGAGCTCTCTCAAGGCACGCCAACTGCCCAGGAAGGAGTGGACCAGTGATAATTTGGCTGAACTTTTGTGGACACTGCAGACCAGCCAGAGGCGAGTGGGTTGGTGGGAATTTGACTTTGTCTTGTCGAGTCCCCTTGGACCCAGGAGCCTTCCTGGGCAGGGGCCACTGTGCAAGGGCAATTGCATGAACACTCCTGGACAGGGACCAGTCAATGAAAACCACTGGGTGGGAGACAGACAGCTGGAATTTTAATAGGGACCCCAACTGTAAGCACACCCAGACAACTGCGGCCTGAGTGAGGTCCCCCAAGTCATTGACCTGCCTTTGTGATCGCCCCAACCACTTGCATTCCCTACCCCATTTGGCTCCACACCTGTGTCTACACGTCTGGTTTATCAACCTGCCTTTAATCCGGAGCACAGTGATCTGTCTTACCTATAAGAGGCTGCTCTCACAGGCTCTGAACTGACATTTCCTTGGAGTCAGATGTTCAGAGAAAAACACAAGTGGGATAGCTACCCAACTGAGCATTATCTTCAGATCAAGAACATTCAATGTCTTGAAGAAAGAAAGCTGTCCCACACAATTCACAAGCACAAAGCAAGATATCACCCCCAAAGGATGACACAGTATCGATGGATTTCCTGAAGGCAGAAAGTCTGATGGAACTTTCTGACACAGAATTTTAAAGAACAATGATTGAATATTTTCAATGGATGAAAGACAAACTTGAAGAATTACAGGACACTACAAGCAAAAACCAGGAGGAACTAAAAAAAACACAAAACACAGTCCAGAACAATGTGGAGAAAACAAACGAGGTATTAGTGGCAATGGAAAAACAAGAAAACACTATCCAAAATATGAGGTCCAATGTTTCAAATGCTGTCAACATGATGGAGGGACACATGAGCAGAGTTGAAGAGATGGAACACAGAACCAGTGAAATAGAAGACAAAATTGTCGCCACTGATCTGCTAGAGCAAACAGCAGACTCAAAAAGGAAGGAAAAAGAAGAAAACCTAAGAATAATGTGGGACACCATCAAGAGAAATAACATGCGCATCATTGGAATCCCAGAACAGGAAGAAG